CTTTAGTGTTTTAAAAATGCATATGAGTGAGTTAAGTGGCAGGCTAAAATATACTGCAGTGACAAACTGCAGAAGCATGTTCAGTGTGCTGGAAGCCGAAAGGACTGGAGACAAGAAACACCCCTCACAATAACCTGCACCTTGACAATGTCCAAGAAGTGCCATCCAATTTGCAGGTTGGAAAGACTATCAAAGCCCGGCCCTGAAATAGCAAGGACAGCTGTAGGATGGATTTTACCATCCTTCCACACATTAAACACCATCCTACTTTGCATCAGCTCCCACTGAAATAAATAACTCAAGAACTATGCAACATAAATAACAGCAGAATGGTTACGGGGAAAAAAAAAATCATCTCTCCATCTTCTAAAAATAGCTTTCTTTTGGCTACGTTGTTCCTTTATGACTTTCCTTGAGAAAGCAGTGATGAACAGAATACTGATCGGGAATCACTAGCGGAGGCTGCCTCAGGAGTATCATTAAAAGGCACATTTCTCCCACAGCCTCCTGTTTCTCCAATGGAGGAGAGTGCATTTTCCATCTCTTTCTCAAGGTTGGAGCAGTGACTGCCTGCTCCCTGCTTCTCTTCATCCTTTCAGCACTCAAAGGTTTCTCTACCCAAGACGCGCCTCTGCTCGTACAGAAAGCTCTGCTCGGTGTCTCTGAGGCTGGGAGGCTTCTGAGCCTCCACGGGAAATTCAGCACAGCCCCAGCACTTGCTCTGGTCTTGCAGGGAACTGCCAGTAGGACCTACAGACACACATAGGAAGGAAGATGCATCCAAATAGTCCTTAACAGTCCTTCACTGGGACATCTCCATGCCGTTAATTCTTATATTCACAAATACAATGGTTACATCCTGACTGAAGTGAAGCTGAGGAACACCCATCCTCACTCTGCTCCACGACAAAGCTTCATAGATCAAGTGAAGTTCTCCTCACAGCACATTTAAGTCAGGTACAGCCACGCTGAGTTCACATAAATAAGCTCTACCCTGCTGCTTAGAGAGCTTTCCATGGTTTGCCCCCAAAGCAGAAGAGACTTTAAAGTCAGTTTACATCTTAAAAAAATGCAAAAATGAAAACTGATTTCAAAGGCATGTGGAGGGGGCCATCGCCCTCCTCTCCTCCGGTGGGCTGAAGCCATTGAGATTTGCGATGCAGGTGGGACTTCACCCAGAGGCTGTGAGGAGATGGAAGGTTTGCTTTTCCATACAACACCCTGAGCTCTTCTGTGGGAAGAGCTTGGGCAACAAAAACGCCTTCTTGTCCCACATTGCAATGTTTTCCAAATTCTGAAACATAATGCCACGGAGGAAAAATGTCTGCACTGGTGGTGCTTGAGCTATATAAGACTGTCAGGGAAGGGAGTGACAGGAGTCAAATGCTGCGCTAAGCATACGCTTATAGCCAAATAAATGGACAAAAGGTCAAATCAAAGACTATCCACATTCGAGGTTTATTTCAGGACCCCTTCTTCTATCACTACTAGGGGAGCCACAGCCCTTTCAGAAACAAGCTGTTCCTGCTATTGCTGGCTTTGGAAAAAAAGCATACTGCTGCTAACCTCTTACATAAAGTGAGCAGACAAACAGCTGAATTGCTGACCCCTAATGGCCTTTTCCCTAGGATTTGTGGGTTTGCACAAAGAAGCCAACATTTTACATGCAGCCCTCGATGGAGTCTGGAATTGTGCAGAAACACTGTTTGGAGTGCACACTCTTAACCCAATTGTTTGTGTACAATGTTCCTCCTCTCTGATGCCAAACACTGTAGGCCTCTGAGTTATTTTGTTATTATTTTTTTTAAGCTGCTTGGCCATACACAACTTTGAAACCCTGTATATACCTCCACTGCCATTAACATCGTGATATAAGTACAAGCCTGCAGTCAGGGATTTTCGTCTTTGTTTCAGTCCATCCTCTTTTTCCAGCTGAGCTCTCATAGCTCGGGAGATATAAGCACCAAAATTGTAAAACATTTCTTGGCCACAAATGTGCGAGTTCTCTGTGACTGAACACAAGGAGCGGGCAGCAATGTGCATCAGGTTTACATTATGAGTGGGAGGTATTTAGCAAGAGCAGTTGACTCAGCCTGAGTTTCGAATAAACAATTCTCTCCATCCTTACTTGCAAATTGATTTTTTTATAGACTTCTGTTGATTGGCAACAGATACAAAACATCCCTAAGGAAGTGCCATTTCCCTTTGAATGGAGAACCACGGGCAAAACTCAGACACAAGGTTCCAGCCCGCAGTAAAGCATCACCTTTCCATTAAACCACAGGCTACGCTGACTGACCCTGCCCAGCAACCCCTAGTGCCTCCAGCCTGCCCCAAATTAGACCCATTAAAACTACTCAAACATGATCGTAAAAGCATGCACTGCAGCAGAGCATTTCAAGGACCACACACTACCTGCTGCCAACGCACTGGATGTTTTCAAGCACCCCCAAGTAATCAAGCCTCACACCTCGAAGGATGAGAAAGTGCAAGCGATCCAACAGCCCAACTGATACATTTACACAAGCTAGGGATGAAAGCACAGAACACCACAATACTCGAATTCAACAACAACAAAACAGCATTCAGGCATAACAGCCAGAACAAAAATCACCATTGTACAGTTGGTTTCCAATTATTCGAGCTCTGAGCTACTAAAACCTACAGTATACGCTATTCTGTACTCTTCAGCGATACTAAATCCTACCTTCACATTTTTGTTTTAATTCAAAGACATACTAATTGTTGTGCACACACAAAGTATTACCTGGAATAACACTTCAAATGCAAATTAAGGGCTCTGTAAAATTATTGTAACGCGAGAGTACCATGGTTTATTAACAGCAGATTTGCAAGGTTAATTTTCAATTATGTATTTCTTATTAGTTTCCTGGCTGTCTTGCTATTATTAAATTTAAAGAGGAAGATACTTTCAATGTGTCCAGCTTCTCTGGCATTATTACTGATAATTATTCCTATTTTCCAATTTGTGTTACTCTCGTGTCTTGCAAAATTTGTAATTAATGAGCAAATAATTATAGCAGCACTTACTAGAGCTGCTTTAGTTAAAGCTGCGTCAGCTTCTGCATTAGGATCCCCATTTTTCAAGGGTTTATAACTCAAGCATAAAAATTCATTCTGGGCAGAGCCTTTCCATAAGAGCTGTCTGCTGAGCATGGTTTTTTTTTGTTTTTAAATGTTTCTAAGCAGCATTATTTGTTACAGACAAAGTTATGGACATTTTTTAAAAATCTTAAACTTCCAAGAACATTAAGTTTACAGCTCTCCATTTTTTAATGCACCAACATCTCTGGAATAAAGGCATTTTATTTTAAGGTGAAGGCATTCACCTTTAAAAATATGAAATGAGATATCTCAGCATCTCCAAAAACCAGAACCAGGTTTTTAATGCCTGGTGGTCATTAGCTTTACAAAATAGACACAGAAGAGAGCTTGACATTCAGGGATGTTTATGCTGATCCCAACCAGTTAAGCATTCATGCACATACTCAATTAAGGCACATGAGTGGTCCTTAGGAGTCAACAGGCCTGTCCACACTCTCTGAGATGCACATGCATTCACTGCCTTGATTCAGCAAGACAAAGCATTTCTTTTGACGCAAGTTTTAGGCTGTCCCTATTCACTGCAAACTCTTGTCCACACGCTTCAGAAAACCGAGCATCACAGGGCTCGCTTCTTCAAGATGCTGAGGACCTAGTGGCACTTCAACCCACAGGGCTTAAAAGGCTCAGCACCTTCTTGACAAGGTGCTCAGCATCATGCAGCGTCCTGTCTGGTGCCAGTATTAGACTTACCACAAAACTATTGCTTCTCTTTTAGCTGAATAGAATACTCAAAGGGCAAAAGCAGCAGATTCCAAACCACAAGGTTTGCTGTGCACCCGATACACTTTACCAGAAAATAAAATTTGACAGTGACAACTCTAGAGCAAACAGATCCTGCAAAATTTAGTCACTACAGGACAGCCCATCACAGCTGCTTACTCTAAATACCCTTTGTGTTTGGCCATCCAGAAACACTGGATGCATCCCTTCATCACTTCCTTGTCTTCCATAGACCTTCTCCTGCAGAGGGGCTTGGAGCAGTCACCCAGCTCCTAGAAAGCCACTCCTGGAACTGTTTGACCTCAATATTGAATTTAATTAAAGCAAGACCACTGTAATTTAGCAATCAGGGAATAACAACAAGTCGGTAGCACTGTGCATATCAAACTTCATTCATTTTATATAAGCTTTGAAGAGCAGGATGGACAAGACCCTTCCAGCAGCAAACAAACAGCAAAAAATGCACACAAAACCCCCAAGTATTACTAGGAAACATAATCAGAAATGAGACAAAAGCAGAGAATGATGAGACCTACCTGAATCAGTCACAGCAAAGAAGGTTTGTCCTCTTGAAAATCCAGGCACCTTATCTCTTTAGCCTCCTCACCAGAAAAGGAACACATGGGCTCTGTGGACCTTTTATTTACTTTCCTTTGATCAGCTGAAGCTCTTCACACCCTCATTTGGTATAATTATCTCCTCATGTTTGAGTTAATTTCTAATGAGAGGAACCCATTTCTTAATATATTAGTTGATCCAGGGCCACAGCACTGAAGCCTTTTACCACAATGTCTAAGGAGGTGCAAATACACCTTCTCACTGGTGCCATCCTCATGATGGAGCCATATTTTATAAGCCCATACTATCAGTAGCAAATGCACCAATAACTTGCAAGCTTCACCATGTTACAGGAATGCTTTATTTCTCCAAAGCACATATGCAGAGCCATACTACATAGAGCCAACTACAGCTGATGTTTTTAATCTATAATAAACCCTTGCTATATAAACCAACTGTTCCTCCTCGTTTTAGGTGCCTGTCTTTATCTTTCAGGTAAATATTTTCTCTTGCTGACCTTAGTGTCATGAGCTTCCCCCATTAAGATTAGTTCCCTAAATCTAGTCAAAGGAATCTATATGTGCTGATATTCCCTAGTTGTTGATGACCTCATATTTTGACTGTAACCATGGTGCTGCTGGATTTATCATGGCTGCATGGCACAATGTGTACCTCATTATTCTTTCCTGGCAGCTTTGTATAGCTTTTATTTAGCTGTAAAAATAATTTACATTTCTTGAACATCTGAATTAAAGATAAAATAGAACTATGACATCAAAAGCTGGAGATTTTATGCAAATTTATTTACAAATATAAATCACATTTAGAATGCAAAATTACACAAATGTTGTCTACAAATCAACCATCTCAAAAAGAAATTAATTCTTTACTTTTTAAAGAATAATTCCTTAACATGTTATCTACATAGTTTAAATGTGAATGGAAAGTCGGTATAAAATCCAAAGTGAAATTTGAGTGCCCTGGGTTTCCAATGAGATCAGTTATGTGACAAGGAAGTTTTTCAATTCTACGTCATTGACTTGAAATTGCTTCAGGTCACCAGCCCGTGGCACTCTCCATCAACTGCTCCCAGCCTGGCATGAAATTCTGGCTGCAGTGAAGTCACTGGCAAACTCTTGGTTGGCTTTACTGGGGCCATGATGCCCGGCTGTGGCAAGTGATGTACAGGAACCGCAGCAACAGTTCAAGTCCACCTCATAGTGCTCATGTACCCACATCACACACACCACCCAGGCACCTGGTCCAAAAGTTGAGTTGTTCAAATATTCCAGAATAACATTTCTAGAAAAATACAGCTATTTCCATCTAATCCCAAAACACTAAGCATCATAAATGCAGATTATTTGTCTTGTCTTTTGGGATTTCAGAATTATATAGAATGTATTTTTTGGAGTGGGATACAAGTGATGGGGTGTTTCTGACTACAAAGCTACTTTGAGCAAATAATCTAACAGTAGTTACTTTGCTTTCAAAATGATCATAGATTTTGAATACAAATATGGCTTCATAAAATTTCTTTAAAAACTTCTGACAGTTTCTCTCTGCTCTAACCTCAGCCTTCTTCTTAAACTTCTTGTGCTTGGCTATTTTACCATTGTCTCCTCTTATGCAAGATCTCTGCTTTATATTTGTGGGGAAAAAATCAGTGGTTGTTTTCTTGACTTTCCAATAGAATAATCCATATGAGGTCTCAGTTTTGATGAACAATTTTAGTATAACATCCCTTCTAGTTGGTGGAAGCAACATCCAAACCATCTCAGAAAGCTCCATGCTTCCCATCCTTCTGCTACACTGAGTTCTCCACTGTGCAGCCCTGTTCCCATTGCACTTCATCCAAAAAAAAAGGTGGAGAATTGTGTCCTAAAGAAAAGAGAAAAAAAAAGCATAAAAATATTAACTGCCAATGCCCTGCTCTTTCATTAGCTCTGCTTCCATGTTGAGACTAAATACAACTCTTGAACCAAAAGTAACACAGCAAATGACTTCTCCTTTAGTCAGGCAATCCACACCACCCAACTTTCTCTGCCTCTGCTGAGAATATCTAAAAGCATGCAGCTGCGTTTTGCTATGTCTTGCAGATCCCTTGTAGACAAAGTCAGCTATCATTTCAGACATATTAAAATGATTATTTAAGCATTTCATACAGACTGATGTGCAATCTGACTTTGCCTCTTGCCTGCCACACAGCGCTGCCTGGCTTTCTGTGCGTACAGCTGGGGTGAACTACAGGACAAAACCCTGCCCAATTTGCATTTCTCCTGCCTGCAGCTTGCCTGCCAGCTTGGGGGGGGAGCCCAGGCAGCAAAAGTCTGCCTACGGAGCACCTCAGGAGCCCTTTGAGTTTCAAAGATGATTTTTAATTATGGATTTGGGCATTCAGCAGCCGACAGGCTGATCTGAACACCCACATCTCTCTAAGGACTTGGTGAGACTGAAAAAATCAAGTCCTGCCATAACTGCTATCACATGCGCTACTGCTTCAGGGGCATCCCTACTTGCTTGTAAAAATGATACCAATACCTCAATACCAAAGTCATTGTTAGAGTTGGGAGCACAAGGAACACAGGCTCAGGTAAATTTTGCCTTTCAAATTGTAATAAATAACACGTGGTTTAAATTTATATTTTTTTTTAGTTTCACCTTCTGAGAAATTGCACAGGGAAGAAACTCCAGGATTACAACAAAATAATATTCATAAAATGATCCTCTGGAATTTACCAGGTTTGAAAATTTATGTCAGTGTTTTTAACCATCCGACAAAATTCCTTAAAAGAAAATTTTTGGTTAAGTCTCATGGAACAACCTAAAATACAAATAAAACGGACATTCTGGTGGATTAACACTGAAGACATGTCTCTAATTTTATACATTTGGTTTCTCAGAAGAACAACACCTTTTCTAACCAATTATTGCTTCTTCAGCTTTCTCGGAAGGTGCCACGGTGTTGTGGGCACAATACAGTCATATTCCCCAACACCACATTAATCTTGATATTTGCAGGGTAGCAACACCTACTGTGAAGAGCAGGAGAGCGATGGGTATGGATGTTCAGCTTTCCATCCTGGCTGGTACTGGACCAAATACATTCAACAGGGCATCCAAACAATGGAAAAGAAAGGAAGAAATGAAAAAGAGAGAGACAAAAAAAAAGGAAAATGTATAAGATGTGGTAAGAAATGTTGTAATTAAGAAGATCCAAGTGAACTGGAGACTGGTTTAACAAATATAGAATAGTTTTACATCTCAGGAGGGAGTAATACTCTTACAACTCAGAGAGGGCCCGAGGCCCCAGTCAGGAGGAGTTCATGTGCTTCAGTCCCATCGCAGACAATTGGATTTAAGCACATGTTTAAGTACGTGGCAGAGCAGGGATGGTTTGTGAGATCCCTATAAAAGCACAACCTTCCATTCTCCCAAACCATATGGATTTGACTTCCCATATGGAGTGACAAAATAAAAATATATTCTAAAAATAGCTCTCAAAAAATGCACTGGCTGAAGGCTGCTTCCTGTGCTACAATTTGATTAGCCTTGTGTTTTATTTCTTCAGCCGCGATTTCAATTTATCTCTGATTTGGAGCATGAAAAGCTGCTTTTGTAGTTGTAAGCAGAGGAGAAAAAGGCATCCGGGAAGCAAATATAGAGAGCTCTTCTGGCTTTATAGGAGCTGCAGGAACAAGTAAAATGATTTTAGAGCGGCAGAAAACAAAGTGATGCTGGGAGATGATCTATCTTTGCAATCTGTATTTAAGTTCCCTGTCAGCCCCTCTGCGGGCGCAGAACATTACATATTCTGTGCAGCTCTAAAGTAACCTAAAGGAGCCAAAAATTGTCAGTGCAGAAATCCCCTCTGCGGGAGGGATCTCTGCCAGCACGGCTCCCCCCCGGCTCGGCGCGGCGGCCGCACGCGGCTCCCTGACAGCTCCTTCTGTCCACCGCCACGCGAGGAGCTGGGGGAGCCGCTCCCTCCGTGTCACGGCGTTGATGGATGGTATCGAACACAAACATTCCCATTTGGGCTCTGCTCTAAGGTGCCTTCTTAAAAATCATAAACTTTTTTCTTTTTTTTTTTCTTAAGAAAAAAAAAAACAACCTGGAAATTTTAAATTCCTTCCCACTTCAGCTGGGTCAGGGAGCAAACCATCAGCCAAGTGCCTGGGGAGCTGCTGGTGGCATCTAAGATCTGAAACTACTGTATTTGGAGAAGGGGAAGGAGAGGAGATCAGTCTTAGAGGGATGCTCAACCATGAAGTTCTTACTTGAAGACTCAAGTAGTAAGTCTCACAGCGGGTCTCAACAGGAATTGCTTTCCCCCTCATTGGTGTTAGAAGACAGCTGGGGAATAGCACCACAGCCCAAACACATCACATCCCTCAACAGCAGCCAGACAACAAGGTGTCTCAACAAGGATCTTTCCTTTGGTGTCCGCTATGAAGCTCCTGCCACTCCAGAAGTTGCCTACGGATGCCTGGGCTGTGCTGCTCCCTGGTTTAGGTCACTGCCTTCGGCTGGAGACCAGGATTTAACACCCACCCCTGCTCCGGCGGCACTGCAAGCATGGAAACTGTCATTTATTTTTCTGGGCTATACAGGTCTGCCCAAATCTCACCCATCCTTGTCACCTCCGAGAACACAAGCACAGAACTGCTCTGGTTAGACACATACATTTCTCATTATTTGTGTCTTTTGCCAAAATAAGTAAACAAATAGATAGAGAGCAGATAGACAGATAAGTAAAAACATTTGCGCTCAGCTTTCCAGGGTGATGAAGTAGGTCATGCCTTGCTTTTCCAGCATTTCAGTTTTCCCACATCCGTGAGTTTGCTTGGTTTTATGCAAATAATAACCATGGATTTCCTGCAGACCTCTGATGCTGCTTTAATAATGCACACTCTGGGAGAGCTTTCTGTCCTGTTTCTGGGTTAATATTTATTGCTGTGGTTGCAAATGTGAAATAAAACTAAGAAAAATTGTGTTTGCCAGAAAACTGTGTCCCTCTCCTCGGCGCAGGAGGGGATAGTGAGCGCTGGTGGGGTGGGAAGGAGGGGGCAGAGCAGCTCCCAGCTCCTGTCCAGCCAGAAGACATGAACAAGAAGCAAAAGGCCAACCCTTCTGCCATCTGTTTGCACCCACTGGGTGCCAGGAGCAAGAAAAAATGGCAAGAATAATGTTCAGGTTCCCTGCTCTGGGCACCAGCATCATGGTTTAGGCTCTTGGATACTGGGCTCCAAGCCACAGTCCCAGAAACTGTGGCTGTTTGAAATAAAGTTCATTTGGGGTTGGTTTTTTCCCCTCTCTCTCTGCAATCTATTCAAGCTCTAGGAAAAACTTTTCCAATCTAAGCAAAAGCTCTAGATTTACTCTTGAAAGATGCCTTTATAATATCTAAGAAATATTAAAACCTGAAAGGGGAAAATAGAAGATATCCAGAGTGGGAAGAAGCTGAGCTATAAAAGCTTTGGAAGAAAAAAGATTAGAAGCCAGCTTTTCTCTAAATAATTTATAGAGAAAAAAACTAACACTTTGGAAACAATTATTTGCAAAGTTCAAAGTACTTGGCACCCTTTGCTTTGGTAAGATAAGGGGCAACAAATAACATCCATAGTCACAAGAAGTTAGCCAATTACATCTGTCAGCAAAACTAATTTACAAAAAATATATTTCTTCTAGGAAGAATACTTTTCTTGCTTCAAATTCATTTTTACATTGCTAATAAGTCTCTTAGCAGTAGATTATAAGTGCCTCTTAAACCAGGAACATGCGATCGCCCTGAGCACAGCCAGCAGTCTCTTCTCCGGAAAAAACGTGATTGAAGCCAAGAATTTCACCTGAGGAGGTTCCTGCAGGTGTTTGGTCCCATGTCCGGAACCCAAACTGTTACAGAAACTGTTAATAATTATTATACACTGCCAATCTTCAGAAACATGATCTAGCACTATTCTGACCTTTTAACCTCACCTTACATGTAGACATGAGCGGGCATTTTTAGGATTACATGCCTGGGGAGTGGAAGAGAGTCCACCTGCCTGATAGCCTGCATAAGGCCTATGAACCTCAAAAATTCATCCAAAATGCTCCAAAAACTGTCTGAAACATCCTAAATCTGTCATCTGCTGAGTCAGGTAAACCCTTTAAGGTAATGTAAGTTCAGAAGAATTTAATTTCAGTAAAAAAGTGATGGATGAGAAACAAAGACAATCAAAGACAGTCCTTTCTGGCAGGCACTGATGGGTCCTGCTTTCCTGAGCTCCACAAATGTGGCACTTTTCCAGAGGAGATGCTGAAAAACACCTGGCTGTGGTCTCTGGAGGTGAACAAAAGCAGGAGCTGGATTGTGGCACAAAGACGAGTAGTGGATATGGGATACAAATGGAGAAACAAAACTTTTGGATACATGACTAGAACAATCTGAAGAAAAAAAAAGTACTGCCTCTTTGTGGACAAATTCAGTTCTATCAACTCTACTTGAAGGTGTTAAGAAGCCCGGGGCTGCCCTTGGCACCTCACCTGCACAGTGCAGAAGCTGCTGTCCTCCCCAGCTGGGAATTCACTGCTCCAACACCAAGGAGCCTGTTGGTGCCCTCTCCTGTGCTGGGAGGGGCAGAAAGAATAAAAAGTGATTTTAGAGCTAATAAGAATTATGGCTGGTGACACCTGTATGGAACAACAAACTGTTTTCAGGTGCGTTATTGTCAAGTATTGCCTGCTCTGCGGTGCTTTGCACAGAAAAGCGTCAGAAACAACGTACCTCAGGAAGCTGTCTGGAAAATAAATGCAGTAGCTTAATTAACACACAGAAATGCTCACTTGTGCAAAGAAAATATTTAGATGATGAAGAAAGAGGATCAGCTTCCAGCTTTGGGTATTCCAGACAATTCTCTGATTGATTTGCACATAGGCACTTCACTGAAGAACTGAGATTAGAGTTGACTATGGCCATTCCAGACATTATAAGAAAGCATCTGACAAAGTTACAAATCTAAATCCTGCACTCAGAAAAGGGGCTAAATTCTTTAAATCATGTTATTCCATTTTAGTTTCTCGCTTTCCTCAATTTTTTTTGTTCCAAAGACTTTGTGGCAATTCATGTCAAAGAGCTAAGTAAATATTTTCTTGCACTGTGTGGAAGATGATGTCAGGCTGTGATGGAAGTGAAATACTGACTTTGTATAACTGTTTGTACCTCAGATAGAATTGACTCATTTTGTGAGATTATAGAAAATGCATTCTGTGATTATATATGCCCCTAGAGGCCTCGTGGAGGTGAGATTATGCACCTCACAATGTTATTTTACCAGGAAAAAAATGGAGTAAGTAAATAAAAAAATCTGTAGGATGTGACTTCATCATGCACTATTGACATCTGCTTGTATGATTTAAAGGATGTTACTATGAATATCATAGTTGCTAATGTAAATGATGAAGAAATCATAGGTCAATCATATAATAATAAATATTAGCATAGGTTTCCCAAGGCCAGAAATGGTTGAAATAGTAATTGGAATTATGATTTTACTCTTGAATTATGTGATACTGAAAACACTTTGGTCGCTGCTGCTTTCCTGGAACTGCTCCATTAAAGCCAAGCAGATACACTCTCCGATCTTTCTTATTCCAAGAAATAATGGCACCTTTTCATAAGGATTATTCTTCTTTCAGGTGGGCACACCCCTCGCCCCGTACGTTGCATTAAGTTGCCATGTTACAGGGGTGCATTGAGCTGCCTGTCCGTGGTGCCTGTCGCTCTGGGTGCCGGTCTGAGGAAGCAGCACCCCAGCTCTGTCATCTGTGTTGGTTACCTTGGGGTAAGGTAGAAGAAGAGGAAAAAAGCCCTAAGTGTACTGCAGACACAAAGCAAGCATCTCACCTCTTCCTCAACCGCAAGACACTTGCCTCTTAAACACCAGAATAAAGTGCTCTCAAAATGCATTAATGCAATAGCTGATATATTAAATTTGATGAAAGACTGGTCCAAACAATATGGTTTAAATTGACAAAATACCCTAACTCATGGCACTATTTATGGCACCACTGAATTACCCTGGACACACAGAAGGCACAAAAAAATGCCGCTGCAGCTTCAGAGTAATTCATTTAGGAGTTATCTGGCAACACCTCGTGCAGCAAAAATCTCCCCGGCCAGCCTGGTGCTGCAGAGCAAATGCTTTCTTCCAGAGGGCGAGGGGGCTGATAGTCACTTTAAAGCACCGCGTGTCATTCTGCACCTCCTTTTCCCAGCTCTGTACATCAGTACCTGTGATGAAGACTGTATGAATTCATCCCAGAGCGGTCTGAAAGTCAGAAGCTGCTACATGAAAATATTTTAAGTAATAGGAATTTCTGGGTGATTACTGTATTATCTGGGGATTCCTGCCAAATGCTGCATACGACGGGCTTTGGAAATGTTGCTAAATCATAGTTTTACAGAGGAAAAAACACCACTGTCTAATCCTGAAATGCTATCTGGATATTGTTGGGCTGTTTTCCTTTAATGCTTGTAATTCCTTACTGATGGGAAGCTCATAGCTGAGCAGTCATGTTCTAGCTGGTGTCTAATGCTGAAATACTCCGTATGAAAAAATCCGGATATGCCATGAGTATTTTAGCACAGTTACACAAAAGTCTAAAATTAGGTCATAAATTATATAATCTTGCAAGGAAACAACAAATTTAATGACTATGCCAAACCAGAGATAAAAGCTGAGGAAGGAAATAGCATCTTTCTCATTAAATATTAAGGATCAGATCCTTCAAACATTTCCCAGTGATGAACTCTGTGGGAGTTTGGCATCTGTATTTGTGTGTATTCTATAGAATATGCTTATACATCATATACAAGTGCTGAATGTGATTTATGGAGCACACACACACAGTAAGTATATTTATAATGCATAAATATATTCCATCAAGAGCAGAGAAGGTGATTAGTGACAGTTTCCTAAGAGGTTTAATCAGATATTGTGATGGCTTATTTCCAACGTTGCTCCAAAAGGGTTTTTCATTACAGGGCACTCAGAAAGAGCAGGTAGAGGCATCGCTTTTTCACACTTACAGTGGCAGCAGATATCACAGACTCAGAGATCAGCTCTGTGCATCCTCAGTGGGATTCAAGAATCCTGTAAAAGAAGAAAGATTACCAGGTTATAACAATGGATTTGAAAGTTACCTGCAACCTTTGAATCTCTTCCCTAATGCTACTGTGCCTAGTCTTTCTTCTAACCTCACACAAGACGAATCTGATTTGATCTACTTAAAATAATGCAGGGGTGAGGTTTTGTGCATATTCCCTTAAAAATTGTGAGTGATTCCCCCGGGACTGATGGCCAGTGCTGATGTCCTGAGTATGTTAATGAGAGGGAATTAGAATCTCTGATGGAATAAGCAAGATAGAGCTCCTGTCCTTGCTGTCGTCAAAGCTTCTCTGATAACCATGTCCTTTTTTTTCAAAGATTTGAGTCATTTGTGGATTGACTATATAATCCTTGTGCTGAAGCCTGGGAAAACTGCTGTTGATGCCCTTGGCAAATTCTTATCCTAAAAAAGCATGAAAAAGAGTAGCAAGTAATTTCAATTCCATAAAATACATTAAATGCAGCACACAGGTATGTAAATGGGAAACTCCATAACTGTAATTTGCCCATTTAGAGCCTGATCTAAAGGCTATAAAAGTTAATTTGAAATCTTTTCATTGATTTTAATGGCCTTTGGATTGGGCCCATATTATTCGCTGCATATCATGTTTGTTTCAGAGCAACGGTACATTTATCTAAAACATGGATTATGTGGATTATAATACACACAGATCCACTGTTTATTGTCCAAAGGCACAGCTACTGAAATTTATTGACTTTGGCAATACACATAAAATCTAAAAATCGAAAGAAAGTCCCAAATAATGATTACACTTTTTTAAAGTGAGATAAAAAATGAGAAGGCCTTCTTTTCATTATATACTGGTACAATCTAAATGTATTTTAAGCATCATGAAATCCAAATGGAATTTGTCACAATTCCTCATTTCTGAATGCAGCAGTTCAACAAAAAATTACATGTAAATGATTCAAAACCTCTTGAAGAAACAGCATTTTTTTCTAATTTGAGGAGAAAAAAAAATGTTTCAACCCAAGCTCAGCAAGGGATAACAGTATTACAGTCGCTGCACAGAGAATTTAGCCACTCATAATTCTAAATCCTTCTCAAACGCTTTATTGCTATAAGGTGGCTAATACCAGCCTCCACACAACAGGACTCCCATAGCATTAACCATGAGAGATAGGCTTCCAGAAAGAAACTATAGCACAGTAATTGTAAATCTCTAATGATGCATAAAACCAAGCTGAATTGGTCCTGAATTCTCAGCATAAAAGAAATGAACCATCAGAAGAACCAATTCTGGTGGCAGTATAACATACCCCAGTGTGGAAACTGTTTATGGTGTTTGCTGCAGTGGAAATACTCCTACTAATATGCAAGCTATATGAATTCATTAAAAATGCCCAAATGCTGCAGCTTCTCATGATACCATGTGTGACATTAAAAACAAATCATTAGCCAAAAGAAAACCTCATCTGTACCAAAACAATTCGCTGTCTTCTTTCTCAGTCACAGCCAGCTGCCCATACAGTGAAATCAGTCAGTTCTGCGTTCTTTTAAACCCATTTTGCAAGACCTTTGGGATGATGCTGTGCTCCTGGCAGGTACTGCCTCACCAGGCTGGGCTGTGTTGGAGCTCTGCCCCACCGAGACTGCATGTCCCAGGTGCTCAGCTGAACTTGGGCTGACTACATGGGCAGGAGATGAGCCTGAAGCCTTATCCCCCTTCCCAGCTTTGCTCAAGAGGAGACCTATGCTGGACCTCCTGCAGTGGCCTTCAAGGGAATAGAGCCATGGCCATATACCAGTGGGATAGGACTGTCCCTCACGATGTGCCATCACAAACCCGAAACTTCCCATTTTCTTAGAAGATGTAGTCAATTCCCACTGGATAAGCCTCCAATAAAATATTTAAATCCATAATTAATGATACCGTTTAATTAATTAATGATGTAATCCACAACCTCTAACAACGAACCCAGCTCTTTTCAGAAACCGCAATGCACAAACCTGGACCTTCACTCATTAATCCACCACTGTCCAGAAGCAACTTGCTCCAGAAGCAGATCAGACTGATTATCTGAGAGGCCAGAAATCACTTAGTTGTGCACAAATGAGGCACAGCAGGCGCAGAGGTTATACACCTTCCCCCACGCAGCCTTACTCAGGAGCTTCAGGGTGGCCACAGACACGATTCCTTTTGAGACAAGAAGCCAATCTTACTTTTGTGTCTAGAAGATCTCTGGCTTCCTTTAGACACTGCCAAGAGGTATTAGATGGGATGATGCTTTTCTAGCACCGGGGCATCTGTCCACTGAGAACTAGATTGACAAGGCTGGAACTGTTGGGTTTGTTTGTTTTATCATTTCACAACTCTAAGAGCCAGACATCTGAACGCTCGGATACATCATTGCACAGTGTCAAAATCGGCAAAGGCACAGATTTGAAATCTGCATACGTGGACAAAAATAGGGTGTATCTGAAATTAATTAAAATTTCTAGGCACTACCTAGAGAATGATATTTATCCACAATAAACAAGCATCAATGTATATCACATTTAGTGTATGGCTTTCAGTGAAATTGCAGTTTTCAAGTCTTGCATGTAGGACTCTAAGGCTTAGCACTGACTTTTTATTTAAAAAAAACATTTTAAAGAATTCTTTTCTAAAAGACAAGAAGGAAATGCCACTGATTTAAAGTCAAATTAAAATGAAATTTAATGCAAGTAACCCACTGAGGCTCTCTGTGCTTGCAGTTGCAACTAGGTGCATCACATACTACACGTGCAGTAGAAAACATACCATAACTGTATAGGTGTTACAGCCTTATCTATGATCTCTGTGGAAATTATGAGAAGAATAGGTAAACAATTTTGTGACGTATTTCTTTAAAAGGAAAAAAAAAGCATCGATCTGATTCTGTCCCTACTGTTGTTAACGAATTTTTTAACACTGACAACAGTAGAAAAAGTTAGGATAAGGATAAGGGGTGAAGAAATTAACTTTCCCTATTAAATACCCTCCTTGTACATATATATAATGAAAAAGGAATGGAGAAACTGATGAAAAAGGGGAAAACCGCTGCAGGCATAAGAGAAAAATGATCTAATTCACACTCTGTTACAAACTTCATTCACATTGGCAAGTTGCTGGCACCATGAGCATCTTTTTTATGACTTGTGAGTGAGGGGTCTTACCCTGTAAGCAATTTTTATAGCTGTTCATTTTGGGAAAAAGTCCAAACTACTTGACCCATTGCCCTGAGGATCTCACAGCAGTAAGTGTTATCCAAGATACTCCATCTGACACCTCTATATTCAAAGGTACCTCCATTTTTTCCAATCAAATCAGAAGAACTCTAATTAAATTTAAACAAGAAGCTAAAGTGAGATGAATGGTTTATAGGTGCTTCATGCTTCCCTACATTGATTAATAGATAAAGAATTCATACCTCCACCAAATTAGTTGACAAACCCTGCTGTAATTTATTCTGTGTACATAATGATCTGTAAGCACAGTGCACTCTAGTAGGGACTGAGCTCCAGCTCCCTCTAAATATATTTTGTGCTGGTTGGCTGCACCCACCAAGTATTTACATACCACAAATCTTGTCCTCGTATTCAAAGTTTCTCAATATGGTTTTCATTTTAAATTAAAGTAGCAGCAGTTACTCTTGCATAGAAAGCCATTATTTGTGAATCTGGTTTGCAACGTGGGCAGTTGCATTGGACCGTGCCATTTCTTGGTGCCCAAAGAACTGCTCTGCTGAGTTGTGTTTTTCCTTTTGTTTTCCCTGATGTTGTCCTGCATATTACTCTGCTCTGTAAGTGAGCAGCAAATATAATTTTCTTTCACATATGGATGAAATTTTGCTAGAGCAGTGTATTTGCCATTTCAAAATCAGGCTCTCTAACCCCAAAGCTGATCCAGAAGATGCCTGACCACTTGTAAAGCACGGCATTAGAAGAAGGTATGCCAGGGGCTGCACCAGGGACTGCCTATCTACCTCGGACAACCGTGAGCACTGGCCACCATGGACCAGCTGGAGCCATCCAGAAATGGGCCCCAACTTTTGAAGATGGCACTGGCTGAGATTATTTCAAAGGAGTTTACTTTTTAGAATAATGCAGTTAGGTTAGGGTACGAACTAACCGCTGGCCAGAGATGTATACAAGGTTTAATGCAATTCACTGACTATTTTGCAGTTCAAATTTTGCAAGGGGCATCCAGCCCTTGAGAGAGATATCCCTGCATTGGACAAACGGAAATCAATAAATCTATTCAGAAAAACGTAATTTCATTTTGCTTCTTAACCAGAAATTGAGATACACACATTTCTCCCTTCCCAGTCCTCCCTGACTTAAATATATCCTGTGTTATATAAGTAATTGTTTTGAACCCACTCTAGGACACAGTCAGAGACATGACTCCAATAACACATTATCAGTAAAACAAAGCAAAACAGTTTCATGTCCCTGCTGGGTTTGTATATACACTCTTAAATGAGCAGATTCTCTCATTATTCACCCTGATCTGGTCATTGTATGCTTAGTCACAGCTGTCACAACAGGTGCCCAAACATCCTCCCCCTTCATGGCACTGCACTTTCTCGCTGGAGTTTGTTGTCAAATTCCTCTGCTGCCTTTCTCTGGTGCCTTTGCTCTTCCTTCTCCAGCTCTTCCCAGGTTCAACTTCATAATTACTTCTGAGATCATCCAGGGCTGGCTGATCCTGGATGTGGCAATCCTTGATCTTAAGCATCATTTCTTCTTTACCAGTTGATGTTCTTTATCCCATCACGTGAAACCATTTTATCCATCAACTTTGACCACGCTTTTCTTGCCTGGACCTTTCTTCATCTTTCTTGATACCTCCAGTGACCATATACTTTGGGACTACGCAGCAGCTAGAGGCTGACCCCTCCACTAGGCCAGATTATCTCTCCCTGTGCCAAAGAACAGCAGGAACCTCCAGTGACTTGAGGACTCCCAGACAGGGTCTTGCCCAACACTATATTTAACA